TAATTCATCCTATCAGTCTACCATTCAATGTAATTAAAAAGTTCAAAAAACTCGAGCAACCTTAATCCACCTCCTCCATCTACAACAAAACCTTAAACCTCTAAAATAAAGTCTAAGAAACCTTAGTCCCCATGATTATAGGTGTTTAAACATTGATCTTGGAAACAAGCCCCTCCTTTCTTTTCAACCTATACTACCCCATAATTTCATTGGCAACCAAAACCACATCAATAAATTGCATGCTCTTTCAAAAAGCACCTTCAAAAATAATACAATGTCACCTAAAGCTTGTCGGAACGTCGTGGATAAAACCTTAAGAAGAATACTCTAAAAGACTATTGACCAAACTAATGGGTCCAAAGTCTCTAATCCTCAAAAGGTTTGATATTTTTTGGGATCAAAATAATGTCAAATAAGGATTCACATTAACAATTGCACTTTGGATATACACTACAAATATCTTCTTCAAACCCTCCTTCATAATCTTCCAGTTGTCGTGGACATTGCCGTATAATACCATCAGGGCGAGGAATACAACGGTTAGGTTTGTTCTCTTCTCTCTCAAAGAGTAATCACAGCCACGTAGTCTTCCATTTGCATTCTCGTTTGCTTTTTGTTAGATGTCAAGTAGTCAATTATCTATTCATCGACCTCTCAACATTCTCAATTTGCTGTCCTCTACCTCCATCTCTCTCTCATAAATTACTAATTTGTAGGAACTTCAATGCCTTTGTATTTGTTGCCTACCATAGATATTGTTTATTCACTTTTTTCTTTCGTGCTAAGAATAAATTACTCTAGTATCTCCTCTTATAAACAATAAAATTAGTGATTGTCCCATCAATGAAAAGGGATGGTAGTGTTCATACCATATTACATAATTCTGTTAAGGGTAAAATCTAGTTTACCTCCTTGTGGTTTTAACTTGGCTTAAATTTTTTGCATCCATGTTCTCGAATCTAGCATGTGCAATAGTTAAAGTCACTTAGAACGTAACTAGAAACGATAGCACTTTAGTCTAGAAACACAAGGGGTTTACGTGATGATTTCCAAGCAACATAGGGTGAATTGCAAAATGCTCAAACCACAAAAAGGTAAAGTGGTAAACTGGATTTTCCCCTTCTATTTTCGTAATCCTTTCAATCAAGCACTAGCATAACAATAAGGAAATGAGGACAAACGGAGGGGCAAAAGAGAAGAGAGGGCCAATATNAACCCTCAAGTCTGACAGCAAACTGAACACCTAAATAATGTAGACAAGGTTATGAAATTTTCATTCATCACCTAATCAGAAGAAAATTGTATCATCAGCAAACTATAAATTAGAAACTCCCATATTTTCTTTTCCAAGCACAAATCCTTCCAACTAAATCAAAATTTCTCATCCTCGTCATTAGTTTACATAATACTTCCATAACCAAGTAAAGAGAAAGGTGACATGAATCCCCTTGTTTGAGTTGTCTAGAGCACTAATTCATCCTATCAGTCTACCATTCAATGTAATTAAAAAGTTCAAAAAACTCGAGCAACCTTAATCCACCTCCTCCATCTACAACAAAACCTTAAACCTCTAAAATAAAGTCTAAGAAACCTTAGTCCCCATGATTATAGGTGTTTAAACATTGATCTTGGAAACAAGCCCCTCCTTTCTTTTCAACCTTTACTACCCCATAATTTCATTGGCAACCAAAACCACATCAATAAATTGCATGCTCTTTCAAAAAGCACCTTCAAAAATAATACAATGTCACCTAAAGCTTGTCGGAACGTCGTGGATAAAACCTTAAGAAGAATACTCTAAAAGACTATTGACCAAACTAATGGGTCCAAAGTCTCTAATCCTCAAAAGGTTTGATATTTTTTGGGATCAAAATAATGTCAAATAAGGATTCACATTAACAATTGCACTTTGGATATACACTACAAATATCTTCTTCAAACCCTCCTTCATAATCTTCCAGTTGTCGTGGACATTGCCGTATAATACCATCAGGGCGAGGAATACAACGGTTAGGTTTGTTCTCTTCTCTCTCAAAGAGTAATCACAGCCACGTAGTCTTCCATTTGCATTCTCGTTTGCTTTTTTGTTAGATGTCAAGTAGTCAATTATCTATTCATCGACCTCTCAACATTCTCAATTTGTNGGACAAATCGACACTCCTAGTCAGTTCAGAAGTAATCACTCAAAACTACTAACGCCTCCACACCAATCCATCCCATTTTTTCCGTAAGAAACATGAGATCAAAGGGTACAAAGAGGTTGGATAAGGAATTCAACAAAAGATACAAGAGAAGACTAGAAAATCACTATAAAACTAGACAATACATACTATCAGAAAACCGCATGGCAATTTTGATGAATAACAAAGGGGGGAGANTTGGATAAGGAATTCAACAAAAGATACAAGAGAAGACTAGAAAATCACTATAAAACTGGACAATACATACTATCAGAAAACCGCATGGCAATTTTGATGAATAACAAAGGGGGGAGAGTCCCTAAACCCTTAGTAACTGATACCAATAAAATTATCAAACATTTAAGCCTTTGCAAAAGACATTTTACTCAACCTAACCTATTGCTAATTTGTCGAGCTTCGCTTTATTAAGAACTTCAAGGCACATTAACCCTCAAGTCTGACAGCAAACTGAACACCTAAATAATGTAGACAAGGTTATGAAATTTTCATTCATCACCTAATCAGAAGAAAATTGTATCATCAGCAAACTATAAATTAGAAACTCCCATATTTTCTTTTCCAAGCACAAATCCTTCCAACTAAATCAAAATTTCTCATCCTCGTCATTAGTTTACATAATACTTCCATAACCAAGTAAAGAGAAAGGTGACATGAATCCCCTTGTTTGAGTTGTCTAGAGCACTAATTCATCCTATCAGTCTACCATTCAATGTAATTAAAAAGTTCAAAAAACTCGAGCAACCTTAATCCACCTCCTCCATCTACAACAAAACCTTAAACCTCTAAAATAAAGTCTAAGAAACCTTAGTCCCCATGATTATAGGTGTTTAAACATTGATCTTGGAAACAAGCCCCTCCTTTCTTTTCAACCTTTACTACCCCATAATTTCATTGGCAACCAAAACCACATCAATAAATTGCATGCTCTTTCAAAAAGCACCTTCAAAAATAATACAATGTCACCTAAAGCTTGTCGGAACGTCGTGGATAAAACCTTAAGAAGAATACTCTAAAAGACTATTGACCAAACTAATGGGTCCAAAGTCTCTAATCCTCAAAAGGTTTGATATTTTTTGGGATCAAAATAATGTCAAATAAGGATTCACATTAACAATTGCACTTTGGATATACACTACAAATATCTTCTTCAAACCCTCCTTCATAATCTTCCAGTTGTCGTGGACATTGCCGTATAATACCATCAGGGCGAGGAATACAACGGTTAGGTTTGTTCTCTTCTCTCTCAAAGAGTAATCACAGCCACGTAGTCTTCCATTTGCATTCTCGTTTGCTTTTTGTTAGATGTCAAGTAGTCAATTATCTATTCATCGACCTCTCAACATTCTCAATTTGCTGTCCTCTACCTCCATCTCTCTCTCATAAATTACTAATTTGTAGGAACTTCAATGCCTTTGTATTTGTTGCCTACCATAGATATTGTTTATTCACTTTTNCAAAATTTTGGTAAGTTACACCCCCAATAACCAAACGCCCTTATTACTCGTTTGAACAACATTAAGACAAAATGATTTCTATTGTGTATTTCCGGTTTGTTTTTATTTTTAAATTGGATGTTGATTGCCACAACTCTCTGTCAAACAACTCCATACCACCACCTGATTGTCATTGTTGATTAGATAAATTGTGGATTGTAAATTGATGATTGCAGTTGGTTGAATTGGATTTGATTTAGTAATGCGATTGTTTTTTACATTTTTCTTGATGCAACAATGGCAATCAAGTGGTGGCATGGAGTTGTTTGATAGAGAGTTGTGGTGACGACAATGGCACTCAACTGGTAGCGAGGAGTTGTTTGGCTGAGGAGGCCAACGACTAAGGAGCCGTCCAAGCGAAATAGAACTACAACTCATCATAGGGCGAAGAGATTTGCTCACAAACAAAGGGCGTGACACACCCATTGGCCTTAGATGGACAAGACAAAGCGCAGAACTCAAGTGACAAAAACTCAAAGAGGTGAAGGTCCTGACAAGGCTAGAGCCAAACAGAGGGATGGATCCGGGGAGGGAAATGGGCGTGATGCCACGGAATGCATTGCGCTTGGTGATGCAATACACCGAGTGCCACCCCGATTGTGCATGCGATATTCCCGTAGGTTCGTTTGTCGTTGGGGATCAAAATATTTCATTCTCATTCCTAGGAACTCAGTAATGTGGCCAACTAGGTCAGTGGGGAATGAGAAAGATAGATTTGGAAGGACTTTATTAGGAGGGGCCGTAGCGTTTAGGCATACAAGTGGGAACGCATTAATAGATAGCTAAACGTGGATGCGATTGTCATTCCCCACTAATAGAAGTCGGAGAGAAGGCTTGGGGTGATGGGTTTAAAGACCGGTTAGGACCAATGAAGATGAAAGTGGAGTAGGAGTAAGGGCTAATTCTGAATGATTACGGGATAATTTTGGATCTATTTGAATTTGTGGGCCGTGTCTTTTCACACNCTCTCTGTCAAACAACTCCATACCACCACCTGATTGTCATTGTTGATTAGATAAATTGTGGATTGTAAATTGATGATTGCAGTTGGTTGAATTGGATTTGATTTAGTAATGCGATTGTTTTTTACATTTTTCTTGATGCAACAATGGCAATCAAGTGGTGGCATGGAGTTGTTTGATAGAGAGTTGTGGTGACGACAATGGCACTCAACTGGTAGCGAGGAGTTGTTTGGCTGAGGAGGCCAACGACTAAGGAGCCGTCCAAGCGAAATAGAACTACAACTCATCATAGGGCGAAGAGATTTGCTCACAAACAAAGGGCATGACACACCCATTGGCCTTAGATGGACAAGACAAAGCGCAGAACTCAGGTGACAAAAACTCAAAGAGGTGAAGGTCCTGACAAGGCTAGAGCCAAACAGAGGGATGGATCCGGGGAGGGAAATGGGCGTGATGCCACGGAATGCATTGCGCTTGGTGATGCAATACACCGAGTGCCACCCCGATTGTGCATGCGATATTCCCGTAGGTTCGTTTGTCGTTGGGGATCAAAATATTTCATTCTCATTCCTAGGAACTCAGTAATGTGGCCAACTAGGTCAGTGGGGAATGAGAAAGATAGATTTGGCAGGACTTTATTAGGAGGGGCCGTAGCGTTTAGGCATACAAGTGGGAACGCATTAATAGATAGCTAAACGTGGATGCGATTGTCATTCCCCACTAATAGAAGTCGGAGAGAAGGCTTGGGGTGATGGGTTTAAAGACCGGTTAGGACCAATGAAGATGAAAGTGGAGTAGGAGTAAGGGCTAATTTTGAATGATTACGGGATAATTTTGGATCTATTTGAATTTGTGGGTCGTGTCTTTTCACAANACCAATGAAGATGAAAGTGGAGTAGGAGTAAGGGCTAATTCTGAATGATTACGGGATAATTTTGGATCTATTTGAATTTGTGGGCCGTGTCTTTTCACACGACTCTCGATGCGCTACCGCATGCGCTAGATCAACAACCGAGGGCAATTCCAGAGGCGTTGTTGCAGGCGCCAGCATCGGCAAAAGTTCCCTCCTCCGCTGTGAAAACCCGCTATTTATAATTATATCTATTGAGTTACCAAGTTTTTAATTTTAATAGAAACTCGGATGAAGAAATGGACTTAATCGTTGAATTCCTCTCACAAAAACAAGTCTTACTAGTATAATATTGACCATGTTTGGTATCGAGGTCAAATTAGCTCAAGTTAAATTAATTAAACGGAACTGCCATGACTATTTAGCTGACATTGGTCATGATAGGAAGGCAAGGAAACATAATTACCCTACCATTGCCGCCCATGACTCTTCACCGTATGTCACAGGTCACCCCTTATCATAACTATGACTTACCAATTAATTGGATAGAAACCCTCTCCTTCTTAGTGTATAAATACCGGCAAAACAAATGAAAGATGGGGAGAAAAATAATCTGCCAGTCTTGGTACTGAAAGGAAAGTTGCGAGAGAGAGAGAGAGAGAGAGAGAGAGAACCTACATTGTTGGAAGAGGAGAAGCTTAAGGAGCAAAACTTTGAACCTACAACTACTAGCTCTAGAGAAAGGTAGGAATTACAACTCCTTTATTTTCTTCCATATCTCTCTACAGTTTTAATTTTTTTTTTTTTGCTTTGTAAGTTGCTGATCTAGTTATATGTGGTGTGCATGTCGATGAATAATATGTGTGGATGAGCTATGTACATATATATATATACATGCATATGAATGAAAATTGTCAAATGGGTCTTCGAATTTTATCAAGGAATGAGATGAAAATTTATTGAAAAGTAATCTAGGTCCTTGGTGATGAATGGGGAGTTTTAGATTTGAAAGAAATGAATAAAAGAAACAACTTATGGCAGAAAAAGAAAAAGGGGAGAAGAAGCTTTACTGATACAGGGCTATGGACATTAGAGAAGATGAATGAAATTTTGTCTTAATTCTAGAAAGGTCCCTTAACCTTAAACATGTTATACCTATGTACTTTCTGAAATTACACAATGACCACAGAAGTTTATAAAACATTTCCAAATGCCAAATCAATATTTCTAGTAGTTAGGAAATGTTTCTGAAATTGTATATTGACCCCAATAAGTATGAAATACTTTTGAATATTACAAAATTACCTCTAATTGCACGATGAAGTTCCTAAAGATTCATGAATCGACCCAAAAGATTATAACCGTGTGAGAAGACCATCAAATCACGTGTGGTCTTTAACATGGTATTTTCTTGGAGTTGTAAACTACTCCCATGGCGATGAAAAATAGGTATATATATATATATTGATTGTTCAAGTAAAATGTGATTACTTATGAAAGTTAAACCACCAATATATATGAAAATTTACAAGAGAATTATCATGTGTGAAGGGTGGTACACTTCCACATAGTTAGAATGTTAAATCTATATATATATATATATATATATATATATATATATTGATTTGAGTAGCATATACTCGTATACAATAGGATGTTGAAGTGATATTGAAATGCTTATTTATGATTATGTTATTTGCATTTTGGTTGTTATCATGCTTATTTATGGTTATTTCGGTTAGAGTTTGAGACCCATGAAATGATAATTCTTGAAACAAAATTGGGACAAGTAAGGAGCGATCGTTCCTCCCTTAGGTGAAAGACCAGAAACAAGTCTTGACCAAGCGTAGCATCCGTCGACGTGCGCGATTACTCGTACCCTGATTGAAAGTATCTAAGGACGAGGGGGTAGAGTACACACGAGGTTAGAGCCCTCAAAGGGACCTGAAGTTCCCAAAGTGTTTGTGCATAGCAAACAGTGTATTGACTTAAATGGACAGATACCGAGAGTGAAAGTCTAGTGCGACCCCATGACATGAATGGGTAAGATTGGTTACTTGATTAATTGAAATTTTAAATTATTCATAGGCATCATGTTTGTTGGTAATGTTTATATAATACCTCATGCTATGTTTTAAATAGGTTGTTACATAAATATTATTCGATATGAACTTACAAATATTGATACATATTTTACGGGATGGGATTAAAACTTAGTAGTTATTCCTACTAAGCGTGGCTCACCCTAACATATTTGCAGGGACTAGACCAAGAGATGACGAGGATTTCTTCCCAGAGCTATCTTGAAGATCTGTGCTTAGTTGGCTTACGAAATATTATATTTCACGTTAATGTTTGAGAAAATTCCAGNGCTCACCCTAACATATTTGCAGGGACTAGACCAAGAGATGACGAGGATTTCTTCCCAAAGCTATCTTGAAGATCTGTGCTTAGTTGGCTTACGAAATATTATATTTCACGTTAATGTTTGAGAAAATTCCAAACTTATGACTTGTGTTTTATTGCTTTGGTGCTTTTTCAAAACCTATGGGTTTAACAGTGTCGATTAATGGACTATATTTGCGATGAATGTAATTTGGGCTTGTGGACTATGATATTAAATAAATGCTCAAATTGCAAATCCATTGTACCTAAGTTTACTTTGAGAGGTCATTAGATGCTCGGATTATCCAATTTTATTTGGAGTAATTGAATTGTTCAATTCATTCGATGAATTGTGTCTATTACTACATAAATCACATAAAACATACTAAATCACCCCTTGAGAACCGGGGCGTCACAACCGCTCCCTATGCGAATTTAGACTACGATCCTCTGGAACCACAAATTGGGGGAGAGAGCCTCAAGTGATAGTTTGGGAGGGGAGATCAATCTCAATCTTTCGAATCTTTCTCTCCTGCCATCGGTCGTTCAAAGGGTCAGTCATTTTGGTCAAGAACGGGCCAAGCAACTGTCCTCAATCAGTCTGGTAGCATTTTCCGTATCAGCTCTTCTGATTTGTATCAAGGTTCTATCCAATTCTTCTTTTATATTCTATATGGCCGATTCTCTTTAGCAAGAAAGCGTGTTCAATGAGTCATTAGTCAATGAACTCGGGTGGACGTGGAGAGGATTTGTTTGGTTATATGTGCATGACTTTGTGTCGCTTGCACAAGGCAAGAGAAAGTGTATATGTGTGGTGTGTGACTATTTAGGCGTGAATGTGTTGTTTGTAGAGACAGACACAGAGAGGTGCTGGTTTTGGAGTGAGTGTAACGCAGAGAGAGAGAGAATAGGAGAGATTAAGAGAGTTGTGTGCATATCTGCTCTGTTGTGAGTGTATGTGATCGCATCCAAGACAGAGAAAACAGGAAGAAAAAGGGAGGAAGAACAAGAAGTGTGTTTGAGTTTATTTCTAATGTTCAAATGAGGAACAAGAGTGTGTGAATGTAGGGAGTGTTTTGATAATAGAGTTAGAGACACCCTTCAACATTTTCGATGGCAGCTAATGCATGGGACCACATTGTTTCAACATCAAAACTTTAAGGATTAAATTGACAATTGAAACTTTAAAGACCAAAGTGAGTAGTGCTAAAGCTCGGGGACCATTAGGATAGTATACCCTTGAGAGAAAGGACGAGAAAATAGGTAAACAATAGTTAGTCTCAAAACACTTGAAGATGCTCTAAAAAGCAGATCTCAGGGGACAAATAGGTATAGTTTTATAACAGGATTTTTTATGTTATTGAATTGTTTGAATTGATTTTTAATTGCAAATCGTATGATTTTAATGCAGCCAGCTAGCATTAATTTAAGTTTCAGTCAAAGGTCTTAGATAGTGCAAAATTTATCAGACAATAAGTCTTACTTGATTTTTGACTATGTTCTCAGAATTATGAGGTACTTAACAAGCTAGTTGTCTCTTTTTCTTTTTTTGATAAGGTTAGTTCTCTCTTTTGGACTTTACATAGTTGGAAATATAAATATGCCAGCTGTACTTGAATATGTACTGCTATATAGGATCTGGATCTAATGTAGGGAGTCTTGGTCTATCCAATAATCAATTACTTGTAAGTGTTCTTCAGGCTGGATCTTCCTTTTATTTCTCCTTTCTTCCTCTTCTCTTGTTCAGAATCAATCGCAACAGTCAGTTGGAGCTGTGGACTACATCTGTTATCAGAACTAGTGGAATGATGAACGTGAGATTTGCGATTATGGCTGCTTAAGAATGCAGTAGGAAGCCTACTCGACAGATGGTTGATCACAATCCTCATACAAATGACGTTGATTTTTGAATGGATACATTGGGTCCCTTACTCATTGAGAAGCAGATATAGAATTTCCAACGTCTGTTGAAGAAGGTGAAGGCATACAGTGTGTAAAAACCCAGAATATTTTTCTTTGAAATAAATAACTAAAACTACCGACATATAATGAAAAACTTGGATAAGAAAAAAGACTTCAAAATTGACTTTCCCTCATGAAAATGAGTCGGATGACTACTATATTGACTATGTCTTGCACCCAAGGATCAAAATATCGTTTCGAAACAGTCGAAACATCCAAAACGTTTCTGTTTATAAGGAGACCGAAACGAAACAGTGATGGAATCGAAATTTTGATATTTCGAGGTATTCCACAATGTTTTTAAATGTATTATAATATTTCAATACAT